TTAATTTTATGTGGATCGGTCCATAATTGACCCTATCCCCCATATAAGGACCAATTTGGAAAATGACTATAATGCTGATTACTGGCTTAAACATACGAACATAGCGATGAAATTTGGCACACGTAGGCTTCATTCAAGCCAATATCTCTCCAATAAACTATATGTGGATCGGTCCATAATTGAGCCTACCCCCATATAAGGTCCCCCCCATAAAATTACTTAACGCTCATTACTGGCTTAAAAATACGAGTATAGCGATGAAATTTCACAGAAGTAAGTTTTATATGAGCCAAAATCTATCTACCAAATTTTATGTTGATCGTCCATAATTAACCCTACCCGCCCATATAAGGTCCCCTTCTGAAAATGTCTTTATGATGAGTATAGCAAAGAAATTTGACATAAATAAGTATCTTAGGAGCCAAAACCTTTCCACCAAATTGTATGTTGATCGGGCCTTAAATAGGGTCCCGCATAAGGTCCCTAACCGCAAATTACTTTAACGCTCATTACTGGCCTAAAAAACGAGTAAAGCGATGAAATTCGATATAGTTTTATGGACCTCTTTCAAACATTACAATGATGTTCCCATTAGTATCGATACATAATAATAAAATATTCAAAATATCAAAGTTTATTTATATGGCAGTGATTTGATGGTGGGTATATAAGATTCGGCATAGCCGAATATAACACTCTTACTTGTTGTAAATGAAAATGATTTGTGCATAATATATACGAAAAATGTCGTACATTGTACGAAATGCTTCAAAATAACTTTAGAAGAAAAATCGTTTATTTTACGAAATATTTTTTAAATTACATAAATTGTAAATTTAGAATAAATATGATGAAATTTACTATACATTTATTTAAACAAACATTTTTGTTCATTTTAAAATAGTTATTATAATTTTAGTTAACAAATTATCGTCCACACGAAATTGTGTCTTTTATGTTATGAAAATTATTCGTGAATTATATTAAAAAAAGGTGTTCGTACTTTTGTAAAATTAGAAAAGGTTTTGGTTAAATAATATTTCGTTTTATACATGAAATTTTCGTAAATATTACGAAAAAAGTAGTTACGAAAAAGAGATTCTACTAAACTTTAATGGATTGAATCATTTTATTAATTACATCTACCTAACTAGAAATTCCAAAATCCATAAGGTTTCTTTATTTAAAATAAATTCTCTTATATTTAACACCACCTTCCAAATTTAAGAGTTTCAAAGAATAAAAACAAATAATAAAACAAGTAAGAGTGCTATATTCGACTATGCCGAATCTAATATACCCACCATCAAACCGTATGCCGTAAAAGGAATGCTCTCCTATAAACATCAGGGTGATATTACTTATTAAATTTACTGATAAGACCTTATATGAGAGGTAAGGTGAATTATTGACCGTTTTTATAAAATTTTTCATAATTTTTTAGACCGATTTTGGTTCATATAAAACATGTTTACATCAAATATCAGTTCCCGATACTTTCCGGTAGAAAAATTTACGTTCCTATAAAAGTTTCTTAGCTTTTGGCTCGTAAGAAACTTATTTATGTCAAATTTCATCTCTACACTCGTACTTGTAAGCCAGTAATGAGCGTTAAAGTATTTATCTGGTGGGGACCTTATATAGGGGGTAGGATCAATTATGGACCGATCCACATTAAATTTGATAGCCAGATTTGGGCTCGCATGGAACTTATGTGTGTCGAATTTCATCGCTATACTCGTACTTTTAAAACAGATAGGCCCATTAAAGATGTTTTTCGGGGGTCCACTTGTATGGGGGCAATCCGAAAACGTGGACCGATATTGCCCATTTTCAATACCAAACAAACATTATATATAGAGAACATTTATAGAAAATTTTGAACCCTCTAGCTCATTCAACAGACAGACAGATGGACGGACATGGCTTGATCGCCTTAGAATTTAATAAGGACCCAAAATATATATACTTTTATGGGTCTATGATCAATATTTCGATGTGTTACAAATGGAATGACAAAATCAATATACCCCCCATCTTTTTTCATGGTGGGTATAAAAAACCTACAATGTTATCTGTGCTTAAAGGCGAACGGAGGTCCACTTGTTCAATCAGGGCAATAATTATTTTAATGCTGTCGTCAATATTTCATGACAACTGAGGGATAAAAAAATGAAATAAAAACACCTGTCATATTACGACCATTTTTATGACTTTCAATCTATTTAACGCTTAAAAGACCACCAATAATTTTCAATTTTCGACTGTATAGTTTTTTTTTTTTTTGGTACTTTGCACATTTTATTGCATTCTTATGACCATTTTCCGCAGTTTTATTCCATCCATTCTACGCTTGAGACTTTATGGGAGGTTCTTTGTCTGTCAAGGGTCATTGGGTGCTTAATCAAAGTTCGTTATGGAAAAAGATGGAACACATTTTTAACGCAGCTACGAGCAAACATTGTTGTATTACTTTTACAATTTTCCTCTAGGAAAAGTATACTTTTGGTATTCGGTTTGTCATCATCATCGTTATTATTTTTAATGTTTAACATTGAATAATTTTTTTTACATTATTAAGTATTTCGTGTTTTTTTATTTTGTTTTCTGTTTGCTTTAATGGTTAAAAGAACAAATGTTGAAAGAATGAATGAATGGAATGAACGAACAAACAAATTTATAAATAAAGGAATTCAAGACTTGCAAGTATGTAAAAATGAGTATAAAACTTATTTAACCTACTGATTAATGTTAGTGGCTGGCGCTGATGATGATTGTTCTGGTTGGTGGTGCTGGTTGTTGGTGATGATGGTGCTGACGTTGATTGTAAATGTTTGTTAAATGACTGATGACAATTATGTGTATGTGTGCATATACTTATTTATAACTGTATACACTATTTATATGGTCATAGTCGCTGACAATGATAATGATGAATATAAAGACGATGTTGAACTACATAACGAGCTGAAAAGGTCAACATTTACAAAGTGGATTGAATAAGAATAAAAGGAAAACAAGATAGAAATAGTAAATATGAATACAATTTGCCTACGGGTCAATTGACTTTAATTGTCAAGTACATTGTAACATTGTGTCGTCATTTGCAGTTATTTAAAGGTATTATATGTAAAAGGGACTTTACTTAAATTTTTCTCTCAGTTGATGGATTTTTTATCATTCTCGAGGTGCCTTATTTTGGGGACCTCTTAAAGTTCACAACACTTACACTCTAAAATAATGCTGTAATATTCTACTACTTTTGATTACTCAATACTACTCAATACTTTTCGTTTGGGTACTCAATACTTCTCGATACTTTTAACGGTTTTATTTTAAATTAAAAACGAGGAATTTTTGTTTTTTTAAAAGTTAGACCAGACATCACACCTCTTTTGAAACATTTTATTTTTCTTAGATTGCGTCAATAAATATTTGTAACTTTTTAACTATTATTGCAGTTTTTAAATTATGTTTACATTGATTTGATATTGCTAAGAGTTGCATTTCTAATAATGATATGATCTGTATTAGTTGTAGAGCTGTATTTTTTCACATCATAGCCGTTAAATTTAAATAAGTTAAATCCATATACAAGTCTGAAAGTATTGAGTAAGTACTTTTTAGTATTGAGTACCCAAAAAATAGGGCAAATACTCGATACTCGATACCCATTACTCAATACTTTAACAGCACTACTCTAAAAGTATGAAATTTTATTAAAATTTTAGAATTTTTCGATTTTCCTACACATGGTTTTATGTTCACTGTAACAATATATTGTTATCAAAAACATATAATCGTTACTTTAATTAGATTTTAACAATATTTTAGTTACTGTAAACGTTTTCATGTAAATTATAAATATGAATATGATTCTCTGAAATATAACTAATTTTACAACAACTAAATAATGATAACAAGGCAAACATATTATGTTATTTACAATAATTTAATATAACAAAAAATAGTCATTATACGATGTGTTATATGGTGCAACGAAGTTATGACCACATTGGATCATAATATGATCATGTATAACAATATTATGATAAATAGGAAAATATTATAATGCAATATTCCTGTAGACAATCATATTAGTTACAATGACCATAATGGTCTTGGTCTACATTTTTTGACATTTAACATTTAAGGCAAAAAATGGGGATTTTTAAATGATCTGTAGACTTAAACGGTAAAGGGCCAAAAACCCACAAGTACATCTTTTTTCAGAAAATCAAACCTGGAAGGCACAATCTTAAAATGCCATGTCTTTGAAATCGTCATAAAATAAAGATTTTATTCCCCTAAACAATGTACACACATGTTGTCCACTTGCTTGCTACAAACTGAAAATGGGTGCATATTTGATGCACAATTTGAAAAAGAAGTCTTGGGCATTTTCCTCAATTTATAAATTTCCTACAGTCATAATTAGTGACTCTGCACATGTATTCTATAAGAAAATTGTTTATTTCTTTATTTATTTAGTACATGTAGTTTACATATACAAACGAATGTATGGTTGTCTGTATGTATATCCATTATAAATTTGTTTATCATAACCACAATATTGTTGTTAGTTTTATTACTGCAACAACAGTTGTGTATAAATTTATAAAAAAGTTTATGGACTAAATTGGCTCCCTGCTATAAATTCTATCATTGCAGTTAAACATAAATTATTAAATGGTTTTTCAATTACATGACAAGTGAAATGTTGCAGTTAAGGGAGAGCGTATAGGGTCCATTATAGTAAAACAAAACCCCACCTCTTTTTCTATACAATTACTTCCATGTAGTTTTGGTGACAATTAGTTTTAATTAAAATTAATTAAGAACATTATTATTTAATAAAAGGCTTTTGTGTTTGTTTATTGTGATTTAAATAAATGTATTTATTTATTATTATTATTATTTTCCAATAAGAAACACAAAAAAATAAAAGTTGTAATATTTATTAATAATTTTGTATTTTTTTCTCTTCATTTTACTTGCAGTTTTATTGTATGTTGCAACATATGGTTAGACATGAATATGATGCCCCAACGTTTGGCAACAGTATAAATTTTTGTTTTTTTCAACGTAAGTACATAAAAAACATACAATATTTTTTATTTTTGATTATAATTTATTTATTTTATATGGTATGGTGTAACATGTTAAAAGTATCATGAAATTTTTATAACATTTTAAAAATAAATAAATTATGCAATTTTTATTCTGTTCAACTGATGAAGAAAAAGACAGTTGGTAAAAAAAAAACATGAAAATAATATAAAATGAAAAGTCATCATCATAGTCATCACAGCTCTTTCATAATTTATCAAATGTTGCAATAATAAAACAACACAAAGTGCAACGGCAACAAACAGAAACCAACCAAGTTGCATTTATTTATTTTTTTTTTTTATCATTTGAAGTGTTTGCTTTGCTTGCTCATTGAGCCCCAACCACCCACATGACGCACGTATGCATTTATGCTGCTGATGATGATGACGATTATTATTATTATTGTTATAACCTGCATAAAGTCCTTGTATATCCTCTCAGTTATTTTTGTTGATTTCACATTTTGTTTTTGTTTTATTTGTTTATAAATACAAACAAATAAATAAATCTACACTGATGACATTTTTCAGTAACAAATTGCAGTTTCAGTTTTTTTTTCTTCTTCAGTTGAGTGTCTTATCATCTTTAATGTTCCTTACACTTGGCAATAGTGCCGCAAAGGATCATAACGCTATATAATTTAAGTAGAGAATACTTGTATAAAGTTACAGTTTAAAAGTCTTTTAGTTCATCTCCCCTAGGAGATCAATGACCTAGATTTTTGTTTACAGCATTTTGTGGGATTTGTTGTCTAATGAAGCAGAACCAAACAGCCAAAGCATTTGATTGTTTTACACATAAATTTAGGTTGTAGCCTGGTCGGTTGATTGTTTGGTGTTTGCTAAGGACACTTGAACAATTTCTTAGATAACTTAACACACAATATATTAAATTGCATTAAGCTACGGTTAAAATTTAATTCATTATAATTCAAGCATGTGGGGACAGCAATTGTCTTTAGTTTTTGGAATCTTTTGTAAGTTCTTGCCTGTAGTTTGGGGCATGTGCTGTTGTTCGTAACATTCAAAATCACCCTTTGTATTGATTAACCTATATCCATACATTTGTCCATGTAAAATTTTTAATCAAATTATAGTCCGCAAATCTTAAAAGAATTCAGTAATATTTGGTACACCTTTTGACCCAAACGCGAATCCAACTGATTCGGTTGAAATCGGTATTTCAATTAAACACCGAATAGTTTATTAAGCAAAAAATTTAGCCGATCCATAATTAACCACATTCCCACTTGTTATTTTAATAATTTATATGCAATAAGTATAAACTTATATGAGAACATGTTTCTGCAATATGGGTGTTAAGGGTGATCAAAAATTTACAAAAAGTCAGTTTTATTATCGCAGCTTCATGGCGCTACAAAAGTGCATTTTTATATTTTTGTTAATACTTTCCACTTTTTTTCCTTATTTCAATATCCTTTTTATGCATTTTATATATTTTTTTAAATGTCATTTACTCACGTATTCGTGTATATTTATGGTCAATTTTCATGATTATTTGTAAAAGTGCAAAATGATACAATTTGAAAAAAAAAACTGAAAAATACCAATCGAAATTTTCACACACACACATACATACCAACAAACAAATATTTGGTGAAATTTTTTTTATGCACTTTTTCTTTTCTGATTTCACTATGACAGCCATGCAAGTATTGATTGAAATATTGTTGCTGTTATGTTTTTCAATTTGTTAAATTAATCTTAATATTTGGTCGAATTTTTTGTTTTGCATTGCTGCGGGTACAATATGTAAATGGCAATATTATCAAAAAGGATTTATGGTATTCAATGATTAAATTTTAGTAAGAAATGTTTTTATAGCAATTTGGGTTAAGATGATGCTTTAACTTTACTGCATGTTTTTCAGATTGGTGGTGGAGGGTATCTAAGTTTGTCGTTTCGTGTGTAACACCAATAAATATTCATTTAAGACCCAACAAAGTATATATATTCTGGGTCCTTATGAAATTTTGAGTCGATTTAGCTATGTCCGTCTGTCTATCTGCCAAAAAAACGCTCACGTTAAAACTAAGCAAAGGATATTAACCAAATTCACCCAAAATATTTACTATTATCCTAATCAGTTTGGTATTGAAAATCAGCAAAATCGGTTCACAACGTAGAAAGTTATGAGTAAAAACTTCAGATTACCTCGATGAAAATTGTGTTTTTTCCTAATTCTTAACAAGTTTTCTCAGGAACTACCAAAGATATTTCGATGAATTTTGCATACAAAGGTATATATTCCCGGAAATTAGTTTATCGTTAATAACTCCCTCAAATATATCGATATCAACACAAAATTTTGTACATGCAAATATAATATGAACAGAAATCAGACTATCAACGTAGATCTCAGTCGGTCCACAATTGGTCATAGCTTCCATATAAGGTCCACTTCCGAAAATCACTTAAAAGCACAGATTTCATTGTCAAAAAAGCTATCTTGATAAAATTCGACACAAATAAGTTTTGTCTAAATATGAATCACTCTACGAAATTTTTTTCCGGATAGGCTCATAATTTTTCATAGATCCCATATAGGGTTTACTTCCGAAAATCATTGATTTCAAAAGCTATAGGGATTCGACAAAAATATGTTTTATGTACATACAAATCATTCTACCAAATTTTTTACGGATCGGTCCATTATTGGTTATAGCTCCCATATAAGGTCCACTTCCGAAAATCACTTAAACGCATATATTTCTATGAATAATAAAGCTATCGGGATAAAGTATGACTTGAATATGTTTTGTGAGCATATAAATCATTTTACGGAATTTTTTTCCGTATCTTTCCACAAGTTGTCTTAGCTCCCATATAAGGTTTACTTCTGAAAATTACTTAATACCATTTAATTCGTTATTAAGTGATTATATCCGGATAAAATTCGACATGAATATGTTCTGTGTATAGATAAATCATTATATTAAAATGTTTTCGAACTGGTCTATTAATATACATTTTTCTGGACTTAAGTAAAATTAGATTGACATATGTACATATATCAATTAAAAATAGCTTGCTGGTGGACGGTATTTAAGATTCGGCACAGCCAAATATAGCACTCTAACCTGTTTTATTTTATATTATTCAAATATACTTAAACACAATTGCACTACATGTCACGATAATAATATTCTATTTTTTAAGATTTAATGAAACTAAATTATAATATTGCGGTTGGTTTCCTTTAATTTTTGATTTTCAAACTTTTAACATTTTGACCTTTTTTTGCAATTAAAATACACGAAAACTTTCTTCAGCTGCACTTGGGAAACAGCTGCCAATTGTATGGAAATACAAATTAAAGAACCAAAAATAAAATCACTCACAAAAGAACAATTTTAGATACGACCTTCATTAAAACATCTGCAATGTGGTATTTAATCAGATTTCCAGTTGACAATTTCATCAGTGTTGATAAATCTGCGCGTGTGTGTGAGTGAATGTTTTTGTGATTCTAGGAAACATTAAAATGTAGACATCATGGCAGACATTTTAATTTAAATACAATAAATTTTACAAATTTACATACTAAAATAGAATTTAACAAAAAAAAAAAAAAAAATCAGGAGAAAAAAGTATTTGAGGGAAAAAAATAATATTTTAATTTATGTGATCTTTGTATGGGTTGCTGAACATTTGTAGAACCAACAGAAAGAAATGTGAAAAAAATTACATTTAATTTTTTAGAACTCTGATATATTTTAATGAAATGCATTTCAAAAAGTACCAGCGGACGATGATGCTGCTGCTGTTGGCTGTTGTTACTTCTGACATCATCTAAATGTACATAAATATGTAAATATGTATATAGTAGTTCTTTATTTAACATAAATTTTGTCAGGCATAGTTGAAATAGTTGCTAAAATAATAATAATGTATGTATATAAATAAAAGTTTTATACATGTATGTATGTATAAATTTCATCCAGTATCAACAACAACATTCATGACGATAGAAATAAATCTAAAATGGCGAACACTATTTAAAATGTACATATTTTGTTTATGGCGGAGCAAAAAAACTTAAAAAAATATCCTTTTTGGGTTTATAACTTAAAACATTTTGCTTTCATTCTCTGTCGTTTATTTTTTTGTAGTTCTTTTCTTTCGATTTGACTTATATAAATAGAAAACCTTGAATTATTAAAACTAAAATAAAGTTAAGAAAGAAAAAAAAAAGTATTCATGATATTTACTTTTGTAGGCGAAATATGTATTGTATAATACAAACAGTTAAAAAAAATAAACAAGTAAAGGAAATAAAAATAAAATATAGTGGAACAAATTTTGAGAAAATTTTTTAAATACTTAAGTTTAGGAAAAAACTCTGAAATTTATAACGGTATTTATCATATAAGAATAACAAAAGTTTCCATAAAAATGTATCCGTAATATAGAATGAGTTATAGCAACCAATACTACTTGCCTATGCTATCGCTTTCATAGTCGAAGATAAAGTTATAGTGAAGAGGTAGACAAAGGAAAACAATACCTATATAGTATGTTTAATTTTGTAAATATTGCAGAGATTGTTAATCTGGCGGTTTTTACTTAAAATCTTAGTTCACACTAGGCATGTCAATTGGGACTGGGTTTACAAAACCCGGGATTCGGGATTTGTAAGAACACAATTCCCAGGATATTAGTATGTGTTTCAAAAACTTTGCTTAAATTAAAATGAAGTGAAATTCTTTTTTCAAAACATCCGGCAAATCCAGGATAACTTGGCTGTATGTCCATAACAACTGTTTTTTAGACAAATATATGCAAACAATTTGCTTATATACCGCAAATCCAAGGACAAATTGATTTATCATTTAAATTTGTTCACTCTTTTTAATATTTTGTTCAAAAATCTATTTGTCCTCGTAACATTGCCGTAGGGAACTGTCATATACATTTGTATATTAGCTATCTCCATTTGCATGAGATAAAAAA